TGTGTCCCTGGCTTCAGTCGGGCTCCAGCTGGACCAACTCCTACCATCACGGCATGTCATGAAGGAAGTGATGCTGGCGACGGATACAATTTGTGTCCGCGATGTCACCCTGCCTCCGACGCACAGTACGGAATCAATCCTACGACGACAACAACGCAATAGTCCCGGGGGAGGTGTGTGTGTGTAAAAAAAACAGTATTTAGGTCAACTATGCCGAACCAGAGCAACACGCTATGGGCGAGAGATTTATGGTCGCCTAGAGCCCGAGCCACCTAACGACGTCAAAGACAGTACCAAATTGAAGTTTTGTTTTGTTTCCTGTGGCTTATTACGAAGACGAAGTACAACATCGACTGGTCGGCTGGTCCCACCCTCATCGCATGGATCGTACGAAACAGCGTCAGACCTCAAATTTAGTCGATGCTGGTGTGTACCGACACCCTTGTACCAATTGGAAATTGCGATGCTGTACGACATAGGTTGGAATGCACAAACGACTGGAAAGACGCTTCAAGTGTACAATCGGCCATTTATGTCGCGCCGAAACAAAACCTGGTTTCAGCGCATGCTGTGTGCGACTTCGAGCTCACGATGATTACTGCTGTACAGAACCAATTTTTAGAACCTCGAGTTATGGGGTGTCTGTTTCACTTTAAACAAGCTCTGTGGCGCAAAATGTTGCATTTGAATATCGCGTCCACAAACATTAACAGCGTGTGCGAGAATATCGTTAATCGGACCAACAAGCCTGCTTGAGCAGTATAATCGCACCTTGACTGCTTTCCAGGTCCCGGCCCTGATCTCATTCGATTCATCAGCGTCATTGAGGAGCAAAGTCACGAAAATGTTGGATTATTGGGGGAGATTTCGAGCCGTAGAATCCGATCTCCTGCTCATGCCGACTCGCAGCGTGCTCCAGCTTTTGAGTCCGACTCGGAGTTGGAAGTGGAGTCTAACTCTGATCAGGAATTCGGTGGATCAGATTCTGACGACTCGGACAATGACAATGTTTCAACCAGATCCACGTCTCCAAAAATACTAGGAATTTTAAAGGAGAGTAAAACCAAACATTCATTGGGTATACCACCACAAACCACTTTTTGTGTTCGTCCAACTCATAAATTTAAATTTACTCAAAGCCAAATTTTTGTATCCAATCAAAACTAACTTGGTTTCAGTACAAGCTACTTAAATGATTAAAGTAAGTAGCTCTAGCCAATCGAGAAAGTTTGTGGCCCGAAAATTATCACATCTATCATCCTCTAAGCCACCAGAGAAGGAGCTAGCCGCAAGAAGGAATGCGGGATGGATTAATTCAAGATTCAGAGCTGATTATGGCCAACGGACGGCTGTTTCGACTTCGCATTGCGAAAACATCGGTTGGGTAGAATTGCACGGAAATGGCAATAACACAAATTTATGCTTAAATCCAGTCGTGCCCACCGTAGTCGCCAGGGTGGTCATTTTCATAGCTTAGATCCAATAATATTTGTTGTGGCGAAACTTGTGTCGGTTACAATTAACGCGATAAGGTATTGGAGGCAATAAAATGCTAATGGGTGAATACGGGATACTATTGAAACTAGAGCTATGATGAACAGGGGTTAGCTGCTCCTACAAATCATGGTGGTATTATTACCTCTACGACCTGTCATTCCTTGAAACCTGTCATTCTATTAAAAGTAGTAGTAAACTTGCACAATATTAGTAGTCTTAATAATGCCAGTATACTCACAGTATTACTTACGAGCTGTAAGCTACGATTCGTCCTCCTTGCGAGCGTCCAGCTTCATCTCCACGATTTCATCACTGCTGTACCGCAGCGGTACCTACTTTTCTACTCTTTTACTGTCCGTCATGGTACGAAGAGGCACACCACTATATCTCCTGATGAGAAACCACACTCTTAAAATGCCGAGGGATGTATTTTGTCGAGATGAATGCGCGCTAGCAGCGCGGTAGATGGAAATTGGCCTCGCTCTCATCACGGAGCCACTTCAAAACATCTACGCGTTTCTATAAGACCAGTAGTACCCAGTACATGCTGTTGTGCACATCGATCGACACGTCCTTCGGTGGTTCCTCTTTCGGCTTCTTAGAGTTTTGATACTGGGCTACGCCCAGCCACACCGGATCCAAGTCGATCCACTTCTCCATGACAGAGTCAATGCTCGCGTTCAGTTCGAATTCTTTAGCCTCGTCCCTTGTTTTACTTACGCGAATCGATGCTCCAAGCAACAGCCCATCCACGTCGTCCCAGCCATTAGGCGACGGAGATAAAAGCTGCGAAGTTGATCTTGACTCAGCAGGTTGTTATGACGATGACGCTTGTGTTTCATTGATCTTGTATTTCTTAGCCATCGGCCCGAAACGTTGACGGTGTTCATCTGTAAGGAAGTCCATGCCATTTTCTAGATAGTCCCCTCCTCTTTGCAAGGAATGTTGCCCGCAGCTGTCAGTTTCTTCGCGCATAACATGGTTTGGTGGTCTAATAACAAACACGCCACGGCCTCGTTTTCAACCTTGGGAAAGTGTACCTGAAATCAAAGCAGCGTCCTCTTGTGGCACGTTTTACGCGCGGTAGAGAATTGGTCAAACATCCTGTCCTCGTTCTCATCTTTAGCTCGGGGGCTCCTATTGCCATAACTTCAATGTAAACGACTTGGCTTAACGGTCAGCGAGATGTCGAAACATGAAAAATATTCGAGAGCACTTGTGCTTCCACCAGCGCCAGGCTTGCGATGGATTTTGTAGCCGACTTCACTTCAACTGCTAGAATCCAGTCCTTCGCCGTGAGTCCTGTCCACATCTTTGTTGAGGCCTTCGTGGACTGTAGGTATGCTTCACAACCTGAGAATAAGTTTGCAGGTGTAGGCGACGCGTACGTCCTTGTCGGACATCAGCTCGAGCTCAGGGTATGAAAGTGCTTCTTGAATTTTCTTTAGCGCATTGCGTTGTTTGGGCAGCCTAAAGGAGCTGTTTAAATTACGTAGCTTTTAAACGACTACACCACCTTCGTCGAACGCATCACCTGGAGTGACCGTTGTAACAACTTTATCTCAGACGCATTCGAGACAGTGCTGGTCTGGATACTGTATTTTATCAATCCCGTAGCCCATGCACAGGTTAAGAAGATATAAAGAACAGGCTTCCTGCTCAGTGGAGCTCTACCAAAACCTACACAAACTCGATTTTTTGCGTCTGACATAGCTCTGACGTATTTGTTGTCACAAATCGGTAGTAAAATGTTGAGACGTAGTTCTCGTCTCCACAAAATGTGTCGACGCAAAATCGTTGTACCTCATTTCTGGTACAGCTACCAGTGTCCAGTCAAGCACACTGCTAGTTACATCTGCCATAAGCTACCGCAATGCTGGAAGAGGACGGGGCTTCACTACGCCTCAAGTTGAACGTCCGTACCAAAGTGCATCACAAACAGGATCTCACGGATACATTTAACGCTGCTTTTACTATTACAGGCCTCTTATCTCTCGTTGAGCAGTTTCTCTCGCTCGGATCACTCAATGGGATGATGTTCACTACGCTTACAATCGGAACCTTCCGGTTAAGTGGACTCAGAGTCGTCGTGTCGCAAATTCTACGCTTCGAATAACGCTAAAAAGCCGACAGGTGAGTGAGTCGATTGTGTGCTGTAATACCATCGTCCATTCTTAAACGTATATAGGTGATCCATCGTGTCCTCCGGAGATTCGACGAGCGAAACATGCCTTTAGAGAAATCAAGGGTAAGTGCAGTGTATCTCGACTAGCTTACAAGGTGTACCAGGGAGGTTTAGCGGGATCAATGAGTGCTTCAACTGCTAGAACATTGCGATCAAAAGAATACATACAGCGCAGCCGTAGAAGCAGCAAAACATGCTTCTTTAAACGAGCCTTTAGGTGCTCGCACGCTAACGCAAGCCGCTGGGGAGTGTCCCAAACCATCAAAAAAGTGAATGGCCAGCAGCCAGCGGCCGCATACATGTACCTATAACCTTAAATGTGTTGATTTTGATATGATAGCTGACACAACACAAATTCGACATATATTCTAACACATTTCACTTTTAATTTTGTGTTTGTGATTGCATTTGTGTAGGTTTTGGAAGAGTTCCAATCAATAACTTTAAAATGCGAGCATTCGCCTTCTCGTTGGGTTTAAAAGGCGCGCTCAACGGACGATCCATCGGGAGAAGGAGATTTTTTATTCACCAGCTGTCGTAGATGCACTTTCCACTGGATGTTATTTATTTGCCAGACATCTCGGCTGCAGTATAAACGATACTCGCATCAAAATCTAACATGAGTGTTAGTGCGCATACAGTCGAAAGTTTTTGCAAGATTTGCTTTAGCTCTCGTTTAGAGCTGAGCTGGCATCTTTGAGCACACCGATAGCACACATGGTGAACGTGGATCCATCTTGAGCTTGCCCCTTTCTTGGCAACGCATCCCATGCTTTTTTCCTTTTACGCACAAAGGTATTTCTCTAAAGAGAAATATTGTACCACAAATGAGCCCTAAACCTAATACAAATAGTGAACACCGTACCTGTATGACTACTTGTCAAATTGTAGTAATGTTAGAATTTCTCAAGATTGATATCCATCAAGCTCTATTTTACCGGAGGATGAGCTTTCGAAATGGTATCCTTAAGCTACATGTATTAAAGTAGGAAATTAGATTTTGATTTGCCAGTATAAGAAGGAAGTGGATCGCTGTTTCGACCTCTTAAAAGAGCAAACTTTTATTTCTTTCTTAAAAAATAAGAAAATTGCAATCTCTAAAAAAACACCTCACAAATTTCGGGCAATTGAGAAAAAGTCCCAAGGGGCATGCTATCAATTATTATTAGTCCTACTTATTACTACGTAGTAGTACTAATACTGTGCTTTTAATAAGTGCCTGTAGTATTAATACTAGTAGTAGTATTTGTTATGAGCAGATCTCACAACTAGCCCTCGACAACGAAATATGTAGCCCTGAGAATCTTAGTGATCTCCATCATGTAAAGTAAATGTCATTTTAAAATCCACAACAGAAGCGGTAGGCGCTACCGTTATGCCACGCTCCTTTTCTCTTTCTTCGCCATCTTCTTCAGTTTCCTGGCCTCTTTTTTAGCCCTTTTTCTCTGTTTTTCTCTATCGTCCTCGTCGTTCGTGTCGCTGCTCGTCGTCACAGGCTCCTCGCTATCTTTATCTTTCTTCTTAGACTTCTTCAGCTGCATCTCGTCACGCTTAAGCTTGCCCTTGCAGGAGCCGTACGCTCTACGACCAAAGAGCTTTCCACCCGTAGCAGCAAAAAGTTCTTCGTCCGTGGGAATGCGAAACTTGTCGTTCTTTGATGTGTTCTCGTCCCGCTTTCTCTTCTTCTCCTTTTTCTTCTCTTTCTTTTTCTTGTCCCCACCTTCCTCATCTGACGACGCGTCGATCACAATTTTGCTAGCCATGCGGTCGTATACATTAAACCACCACTGGTTCGCCTGTTCCTTCACCGCCTCCTTCTCTGCACCGACGCCTTGCAGCTCCTCACGCCGCTTCACTTTAACATGCGACTTGACGCCCTGCTCGTTCTTGCCCAGCCCTTTACCGGCTGACCAGCCCATTTTTTCCATCTGCCGACGCGCAAAGTCCGACACTTCCGCCGCCGCACTCTCATTGGCCATTCCACCTAGCTTACTCATCAACTTCTTACCGACGAGCGGCAGCGCAGCGGCGTCTCCTGCCATTGCGTCCAAAGCAGTAGAAACCAGGAGTGGAGGTTATTGGCGGAGACACGATTGCTAGGGATAGTGGTAAGTTGAGTGCAGCTGGTTTCAGAGGCTGCTGTCACCGAATTATGATGATGATTATCATACCCATGTACTGCTTTATGAGAACCAAAATTTATCCCATCAAATAGCATAAGCGCTGGCCAATCACCAAGTTCCCGGTGGTCATTGCAGCATAGGTCACGCGAGATGACCTTGACGCGGTGGACGACAGCGTCCCTGGTGGCTTCAGGAGCGCTGTGTGCGACGCTAGGTGCTTGGCTTGGTCGGTACCTGCTGGCACGAGGCTGGCAGAGTCGTCTACAGAGCGACGACTCGCTGGTGAAGGAATTGGAACAGGAAATCGAGCGACAAAAGCAGCTTCGAGCGCAGGAGCGGGCGGGGCGAACTAATGCCGAGCGGGAGGCGCGCGAGGCGCTACAGCGGCAACACGAGACAGCAGGCTACAACTTTGAGGCTGTTGCGCACGTGCAATCATGTTTTGCGGACCGCCGCGGCACCCCTAGACAAGGAGGTCTCGTGGAGAACTCTCGAGCACGCATCACGTTTAAGACCAGTATCCCACCGGCAAGTCTCGAGAGTCTAGAGCAGTTCAGCCACCTGTGGATCCTGTTTGTCTTCCATGAGAACACCAACTTAGCTAAAGGTGTCCCTAAGACCACGTTCCCGGCCAAAATCGCCCCACCACGACTTGGAGGCAAGAAGGTTGGGCTCTTCTCGACTCGTACACCTCATCGCCCCAACTCTATCGGACTCTCGGTCGTCAAGATCGAGGCTATCCGTGACCGATGTATCGAAATCAGTGGCCACGACCTTGTCAACGGCACACCCGTGTTGGATGTCAAGCCCTACGTACCGGCAGACTACGTCCCAGGACACATCGTCCCAGACTGGGTGGCAGCCGAGACGGACGTGGTGGCAAGACCAGTTGAGTTCACGCCGGAAGCCACAGCGTCGCTGACTGAACTCGTAGAAGCCAAGTTGTCGTCCTTCTACGCCAATGTATCTGACTCGAAGACAGCAATCGAGCAGATGCTTGTCTTAGACATCCGCAGCGTCCACCAGGGACGTGGCCAAGCTGCTGAGACGCAACAGTTCCAGTGCCGCTTTGACACTGTACAGATCGAGTTTTCGACGCTGGAGGAATGCATCCGCGTACTGAGCTGCACACGCTACACGACACACGATCGATCACGCCTACTACTGCGTCAAGCGCTGTTGAACCAGCAACAGCGAGAGGAATAAAGTACACAACTCGGGAACAAATTACAGTAGCAATCCCAAACTCAAACTCCCGTCTATTTGGCTCTTGATGGTCAGTCGTACACACACACTTACGCCTGATCAGCGTATTCCGCTTCAGCTTCCTTGATCTCTTGGTCCAGTTCAATCCACGACTCGTTGAAGAGTTCTCCGGCAATGACACGTTTGGCCATCTCCAGCTTAGGTTCCTTGTGCTTGGGGTTATTGCACAGATCGATAGTCTTGGCCGCCACCTTGGTCTCATCACTGCACCACGACTCGCACCAGAGCCATTCCTGCGGCAAAGAGAAGATCGGGATCTGGTGCTGCGCGTAGTTGGGCAGATCCTGGTCCAGATTCGCCAACGAGTTGGGGTCGGCGCTCAGATGGCTGTAAACTGCACGCAGCATGTCACCAGCTGCCATTTGACGGAAGAGCGCCAGGTCAACGACATACAGGGCGCTGATATGGTACGGCTTGCCACGCAGATGGTCCTTCCAGTATCCTTGTCTCCAGAACTGGAAGCCCACGTTACGAGAGTCGCAGAACGGCGTGTAACCATACGGTTTGCCGTCCAAGTCAAGCTCCCAGAGCTCCTTGAGATCAGCTCGCACCACTTGATCGGCATCCACGTAAATGATCTTCTGCACACCCAGAGGGAACAAGACGTCCAGGAAGAGAATCTTGTAGCCCCAGATAATACGCTGCTTCTCAGTCTGTTGACGCAGCCAGTTCGGCCACTTGTACGTCACAAGACGAATGTCCATGCCAAACTGTTCACGCAATACCGGGATGGACTTTTTAAAGTCTGGAGACAGGAAATTCTCCAGCAGCCAGAACGTCACGGGGTTGTTTGTACGCTTGAGTACACTGGACATCATGATCTTGACGAAGCGTTCGTACAAATAGCCAGACGCCACCGAGAAGACATGAATCGTCTCGCCTGTGCGCTGCTTCTGCGCCACAACCGCACTATCGTTGTCAACTTGGTCAGCTTCGACAGTATCTTGAGTCTTCGTGTCATGCTTGCCCATCATTTTGAGCATTGCGTCCCAGTAAGACTTGGTGGACGACGTCTCATCAGCCTCCGACTTGGGTTTATCCGGTGCTGCGTGCTCAACCGACTGCAGCAGCTCTTCGTGTTCTTTGCCCTCTTTTTTGCGGACATACAACTGAGAGATGTGCGAGCCAAAGTCATACACTGTGATGGGGTTGGTTTCCAACGGAAGCTCAGTCTCAAGGTCAATGATGTCAAACAGCTCAGCAGCTCTACCTCTCGCCAAATGTAGGGACCAAACACCAGGTGTCGCTTGAAGCTGGAAGTACCCCAAGTTCTTCATCACGAGAGTATCACGATGCAACAGCTGCGCTCCAACTTCGCGCTCAAGAACCAACTGCAGCCCGTTGGGAGGTGCATACATGTTGAACGTCGTATCACGGCACTGGCCGTACACGAGCAGACTCTCCAGTTGGAACACAGCACTCGTTGTAGCCTTCACCGCTGCGGGACTATCTGGATCCACTCTCAAGTTGTCCAAGTCATCGCCCGCGTGGAAAGCCTGTACGTTCCAGGCCTCCGGGGTGTCGATTTTCATGGTCAAGATCGGCTGCACAGGTAGCTTCCGGAACTCGACGCTAGTAGCACCAAGAGACGACTTCTTGTCGAAGAGGTATCGATAGAAACGTTGCAGTGGGAACTCCGTGTACTCGTCCGCAGGCACCAGCACCAGTTCAATCGTAGCGTTCAGCTGTGAGTGCAGCATACGAAGCAACGAGCTCATCACTTGGGCTGCCTCCGACAATGGATCAACGTACGCAGCCACCTGCAGAGAAGGGTCACCCGACAGACGAACAGTGTTGAGCGAGTTCTCGTCCACCGTCATGTGAGGCGTCCGATCAGTCTTCACGTACTTGTCAACGATGCCCGTGGTCTTCATGATAGCGAAACTCAGCTTGTCGGCCTCTTTAGCGTTCATCGTAACACTGCGCTTGATAAGCGCTTTCGCCACAGGCTGCGTGCGATATTTCAGGTCAAAGTTCACGATAGTAGCCATATCTTCGTCCGACAGCGACTGAGAGGGGAGAGTCACTTGTCTTCCATTGATGAACAGGTGTGGCAGGGCAACCTTGGGCACGTCTTCTTCACTTTCTACATATGCTGGTGGGAATCGAGAGCGCAGGAGCGTGTTGAATTGTGTAAGCACACCACGCTGCTTCTTCGTCAGCCATTTCCCCGTCTTGCTGTTCAGAAGCTTCAGCACCTTCTCGTAGACAGGGTCCGTGTCGCTCTCGCTGTTCGCTGTCTTCTTCCAGATTCCTCGGAGCTTATCCTTCATGGTGTTGATCGACTTGTGCTTGACAATGCAGTTCAGCGCTTCTAGTACAAACTTCAGGTGGGCTTCCTTGTCCGAATGCCCGATCGTGGCAATAATAGCAGCCGCAAGCTCACCCACACTGTTCTTCTCGACGTCTTTCAGTTGAGACACAACTCCAACACGTAAAGACTGCTCAGAGTCCTCCAGTACAGCCTTCACCACCCGATAGGCATGACCTGCATCCCGTGGGTCATTAAGATCGACCGGGAAGATCAGAGTCTGCTTCTTAGGCAACGTTCTAGAGCCAGGGGCATGCAAGTACGAGACTGCGGGTCGCGATGCGGCTTCCAGACGGCCATCAACATCATCAGCCACTAGATGGCCGGGCGCCTTCACTTCCGTCTCCCCTGGTCTAGCTTCTGAGCTCTCAAAAATCGACAAGTAAGCAGGGTATGCGTCCTGTTCAGTCATGAGCTCCTCCACAAGGTCCATGTCATCCGTCAGCAAGCCTCGATGAGCCATGTTCACGTACAACGGCTGATCACGTCCAAAGCTAGCCATCATGGACCTCTGGATGTCCAAATCCTTTTGAACGACACCATTGAAGACGAACGAGTCCAGCGGCAGGTGCTTCAGATGAATAAACTCGGTCATAGCCAAGATGTCGCTGTCAAACTGGTCACTTTTCAGACACTCCAGTGCCTCTTCTTCATTGTCTTCAGTTGTCCCAACGCCACCTGCTGCTTCAGCGTAAGCTTCCACCAAGCGCTCCACCAAAACGTCAGATTTTTCATCTTCACCGACTCGCTGCAAGAATCCCGACGCAACTCGTGTAGGGAGGATTCGTTCTTCCTCTTCTTTAACCTCAGTATCATCACCCTGTGATGACTTGCTGGTTTCGTCCTTAGCTGCAGCCTCAGCTGTGTCCTTGGACTGTGCCAGCATCAACAGCTTCGCAAAATGCCAGGAACTCGCCTTGTCTGTTGTCTTGAAAGCCTTATACTTCTCCACCACCGCTTGACGCTCCTCTGCTGTGTTGCTAGCCATAAGTTCCTTCGAGGAAATAAGCAGCGCCCACTGCACAGGGGCTCCACGCATACGCATAAACCCAATGTGGGACAGCGCAGCACGGCCTGCACCACTTAGTGGGTCCATTACAAGCACGCACTCGTACATGTTCTTGCGAACAAAGATGAGGTTCCATGCTGGACGTCGGAGTATGTTTACGTCCGGCGACCAGCTAGCAGAGTTCGGATCCGTCTCAATGTTGTTCAAATACAGCGGAGTCGACCCGCCCATGGCTCCACGTACGTGAATACGAACCGCTGGCTGCTCCTGATTTGTTTCGCGCACATGCTTGAGCATATCTTCCAGTTCTGACTGGTTAAGAGGCAAACTATCGAGCTGTTTGGCCACAGACCACTCTTCTTTGAGCGTCTTCATAAAGTCGAACACGTTAAATGAACGCTCCGTTGGGTCCACAGCGATACCGTTCATAATAAACTTGTTCCTCACTCTTCTGTTAGCAGCCTGCATACGAGTGACGGCAATTTCTTCGCGTAGCTTGGCGGAAATTGATTTACGCGAGAATGCCAGCTTTTTGGCCTGCACAGGGAAGTCCTGCGAGAGAGTTTCCAGTCTCTTCAATGGGTTCTTAGCGTCCACAATATGACGGACTGCAGTCGCACCTAAATCTTTCAGATGCCAGGCCTTCAGCTCTTGTTCCTGCTCGCCATCGGCTTTCTGGACCAAAATATCGTAGAACTCTTTCAGGTCATTCGCAATAGCTCCGTGACGAGCCATCAGCGGCTTGAACAGGAAGCCATCGACCTCTTCATCGTCGATTTCCCCCTCCTCCTCCTCGTCTTCTTCCTCTGAACCTGTCTCGTCACTTGTAGTGTCATCGCTGTCAGTCTTTTTAGAGTCGTCAATCGTCGTGTACTCCATATTCTTGATGTCTAGCGCCACACCATAGCCCTGTAGCAACGTGTCCAAGGGTGAGTCACGTGGGTAATGACGCACCATGTACTGAATCTTGTTAATCTGCGCTTGCTTCACCAGCTTCGTGTGGAACGCATGGAACTTCTCCGTTCCCACGAGACCATAGAGAATAGCTGAAATGGGCGCGTTCTCCGAGTCCGACGCAATGTACGGATACTTGTGGTCCACCTGCAACTCGACATCGTTGACACCTGCAGCCACACACGCCTGGTCGTTGGTCTGTTGCTTCTTGCCACGTAAAATGGCGTCCAGCTCGTCCTCAGAGCACGCCACTGACTCCACACAATGTTTCTCCTTGTAGAAAACCGCCCACGTATCAGCACCTTCTCCACACGGACGTATACCCGAGTCCAGACCTAATTGTCGGAACATTTCCACCTTAACAGAGTATGTGCGAGTCGCCAGCATCAGCTCCAGCACCTGCCACAAACAATAACTCCGTCAATAATGAATACATAATAAAAAGTATCGTAAACTTTCGTACATTCTTGGATCCGGGTGCGATGCTCTCGGCTACAGTCACAGCCAAAGTCCCAAGCGCATCCACGTCGCTGTTCATGAGATCCACATACGACGTGCGTGCCTCCAACTGCTCCAGAAACTGCCAGAAATAAAGTGGGTTCTCCTCCGCCAAGAACTCACTGCAGATATTTTTTTTATGAATAAAACAGTTTTTCAGGAATAATTGAGACTTTTTTTTTAAATGTATTTCTTACCTGGTCTCCATGAGCGGGAAGAACGGGGAGCTCGGCCAACTGGCCGTCAAGTTCACGTGCACACCGCGCGCAGACGTCAGCGAGGGCTGCGCAGCCGTCAGGAGCGCTGCTAAGCCCGCGCTCAGCCACGTCGTCGGGCGCATCGTTTCCTTCAAAATGAACGAAAGGGTATCCACGTGGAAGACTATGAATAGAAGACCGTTGAAGGGGCTTCTATTTTGAGTACGAAAAATCCCTCACTACTGCATACGCCTCTCTACTCGCATAAGTCTCCTTTGTGAGCAGTCCGCACTCCACTCGCCATCGGTTAGATCTGCGCGCTCTCGATCTCGCTGTATCTCTCGCTACAGACATCCAAGTGATCTCACAGCTACTCCATCGTCTCCACATACGTCTGATCTTCCCTTCTATACATTTCTGCATCTCTACAACGCTCTGCAGTAGCCATGAACAACCCAAACGCTCACCGCAAGATGACGCCCAAGGGGCAGATGAGCTCCAGCGGCATGGGGCCAGCTATCATGCACCTTCCTCCGCATCTCAAGGTCATGTTTGAGCCCAACGCACCTCTGGACCATCTACCGCGACTAGTTAAGCGCAAGATGCCGCCATACTCGGGACTTGCGGGTTTCATGGACTCCTTCGAGGCCGAGAACCCCCCTCCTCGCGACGTCCAGGAGACGCCCAAGGAGCGTCGTGAGCGTCGCCGCCAGGAGAAAATGGCGGCTAATGACGCTAAGATGCAGGAGGACCGCGTTAAGTGGGATCCCAACGCTGAAGATTCGCGCAAGACGCAGGACGCATACAAGACGCTATTTGTGGGTCGCATCAGCTACGAGACTACGGAACAGCAGCTGCGACACGAGTTTGAACAATACGGACCTGTCAAAAGTGTCCGCCTGGTGGAGGACTCTGAGGGAAAGTCTCGCGGGTATGGCTTCGTGGAGTACGAGAAGGAAGCGGACCTGAAGTCCGCATACAAGTACGCGGACGGCAAGAAGATCGACGGACGTCGTGTCGTCGTGGACGTTGAACGTGGACGCACAGTGACAGATTGGCTGCCGAGAAAGTTTGGAGGTGGCATTGGAGAGACCCGCAAGGGAGGATCCGATGTCAACGTCAAGTATTCAGGTAGAGAAGCGATCGGACACTTTCAGGTCGGCGCAGCACGTGATGAAGGGGCGTCGAGGGGGGATCGATACGGAGCTCGTGAGGCTCCACGTGACCGGAGTCGCAGTCGTGGACGTGGTGCTGGTGCTGGTGGGGATCGTCGAGAGCGACGCCGTTCTAGATCGAGATCGTGGGACCGTCGACACGATCGTGGCCACGACCGCAGTCGTGACCGAGACCGTGGTCGCGACCGGGACCGCAGCCGCGACCGTGATCGTCGAAGCCGCAGAGACTCTCGGGACTATTCGCGTAGATACTGATGCACATTGCGATAGCTGAGCAGCATTTCTCGTAGGTATAATTGCACCGTCAGCATGCTTGCTGTCACCAACTGAGGTAAGACACTTCTACTATCCACGTACGTACCGATATGGTTTTGCTTGTCATGACTTAGTTGCCTCACATCCGCTACGGATGAAAGACTCTATTATTATGCACTACTTGCACGTACTACCATGTAGTACGGTAGTACAACTAGCATTTGATTGCTAGACAAAGACTACATAAACGAGTGTTCGCTCGGATTAGCGAAAGATGGGGTCGTAGCAATTGACTAGTTTTCTCAGATACTATAGAAGTACTTCGCAGTTCGCATTTGCACATTATTTTGCTAGATGCGAGTTTACAAGTTTATCCTTTCGTGTAACCTGCTGATCTCAAATATTGCTGCGAACACGCGGTGGCTGCGATCAGAAATAACGAAATCCTCACCAAGAACTGGAGTTGTTCACGAAATACCGCAAGGAACCGCTGAAATGTCCGGCAGATCATTGAAAATTCAAGGCAAGTCTGACGACGACGACGATGATTCAGACGATGATAAGGACGACGACGATGATGACTCAGACGATGACAAGAAGGACTCTGACGACTCGGATGACGACAACGACGATTCGTGTTAGCATCGGCAGCTTTGCAAAAAGTCTTTGCATAAGACGACATGTCGACAGAAATAAACAAATAGTGGGGTCATCATACATCTTTGCATCCCATGTCGTGGCCATTTCGAAGAAGGCTTCCACACGTCAATTATACGTACTCAATTCAGTTTCAAATTTCGCTCCATCGCAAGAGTCAACAGTTATTTAATACCATGCACTTTCAACTACTACTGTTTGTAATCGGCTTGGTTGGAACTACTCACGCCACTACAAAGCTACTAAGCCAAGTCCCGTGTCTACGGACATCGAGCCACAACATTCCGACGCACCGACTCTCACCGCTGGCGATGCATCGATTCGTCGATCAGGGCGAGGAGGCGAACGTTTTCTTAGCGATGACGACGACGATGATGATGAATCCTGCGATAGTTTTTGGAACGATGACGACGGGCAATGGAGACATCGGTTCGGCAAATTTAGGCACTAGTCCATTAAATGTCTACCGATTGCACACTAACTCAAAAGTGTCAAATAATAAAAGGGTTTTAGGGAATCTGAAACGAGATCTATTTGTCATTTTTTTCTCGTGGTACAGCAGTGTCCAAGCACACGCCTTCAATCGCAATCAAAGAAAACCACCAGAGCGCTCAGTTTATAAAACATGCTGAAGTTCTAAAGCTAGGAGTCTTAAATGTCCGCACGCAGTCAGTGCTGATGCTGTGGTGGCGACATCGGAGTAGCTTGGTCCATGAAAAAAAAACAGTATTGAGGCTGTGCCAGCCTGTACAACATCAAAACAGTTTTTTTCATTTTATTAGCTGCAAAAAAACTTAGGCAGTGCTCGACTTGCACCAATATAGCTATTTCAGCGAAGATATATTCTATTACGGGCTAACTATTTTCGATTGAGCTGGCAGATTAAATGAAATTAATATTTGTTTTTAGCTAATCACGTTTTTCAACTGGAACACGGCCTTAGGCCGTGTTCGAGTAGCATCGGCGCTGGTTATGTTTCTTTACTACCACCGTAGTACGTGCAAAAATGCGTAGCCCTTGGAATATATTTTCTTCTACATCGGACGGTGCGGGACCAGTCGGTGATGCCCATTACTTTTGGATTTCCAAAGAGCAAAATTTCATCTGAAATACATTACCGGTATTTATTCACTGAACTTCTAAGTAGTAATTCATATTTCAAAAATGGACAGCTGCAAAAAATAACATTGTATTGGTTCAGCTGGCCTTTTCCCATTGTTTTACAAATCACTATTCACAGAAATCTTGTTGAGTATCCGACGTAGCTTGCAATCGACAAAATAATTGTCCAATGAGATTTTACAAAGTTAGGTGAGTCGTGAAAGCCGGGTCGAAAAATTTGTGTACGCCACCCAATCAGCAAGCCAACATCGTATCACTTGCAGATTTGCATTTATCGAACAAGAGCAATTAAGTTAGACGAACTATAGTGAATGAGCCAGGACAACAGCGATGGCAAGGCTAAGGAATTAAAAAAAACGAGCCAATTGCAGAACTTTTGGTATGACCATCAGTCCTCACGAATCCGCCGAAAGCTCCGGCCCACCGAAGTGAGCCATCTACGCGTAGCTTCATCGCTGAGGGATTATGTGACGGGGTCACACAGCACCTTGCGCTAGAGGAAGTTATCTTCCGAGAGTATACAAACTCTCAGTGAACGGCAGTTCACAGGTCCCCTCTTTAATTAAAGAGAGCAAGGTGACCTAAATAAGGTAGATTGTAAACTGAGTATATTTATAGGTAGGTTAAGTTTGAGGTTAATACAAACTATCAGTTACCTATAGTAATGCAATGTCATTTAACCAATGGTTGGTTTTGAATGACCTTGGTACCTTGTACCAAATATCCCGGAGTATGACATGTCATACTCCTGAAGTGTGAAGTGTCACACTTCATGTAACCAGGGTACACTTAGTGCTACGTACCCCGTTACATCCTCCCCCACTTAGGTTCGGTTTACCGACCAATCAGAATGAAGAGATGTTCGTCACAAACTCTCATTCTCAAAGTCGAAAACCATCGACTCGGCCGCGGAAGCGCGGCGGAGGCTCACTTTACAGTTAGAGCCTCGAGCAGCAACCTGTGCGCTCTTCGTCAAGGTCTCCACTTCGACCGTTAACATGCCTCGTGGCACTGCTAAGAGCGGTGCTAAGACACGCTCCAAGGCTGCAGCCGGTAAGGCGCAGGCCAAGAGCACTAAGCCTCACGGCAAAGGCTCTGCACTCAAGAAGGCTACTCAGGTGGCCTCCGAGGCGATCGGATCCTCGGGTGACGCGGCTGCGGACAAGCGCGCAAGCAGGCGCCGCAGTCCGTCGCCCTCGTCTTCAGACAATCGTCCGAACCCTCGGTTCGTAGAACATGAGTTCAACTCGGGCAGTGAGGACGATGCCGAGTTCGAGAGCACCCATGATGCTCCTGCGGGCTCTGTGGGAGGGCACAGCCCAGTGCCCAGTGAGCACGAAGAAGACAGCGTGCAGTCGTCCGCTAGTGATCACGGTGATCACAGTCCCAGGACCTCTGTGCGCTCTGAGAGTCCGGCCGTTAAGGCTAAGGACACTCCCAAAGCCGGTGGCGATGAGGAAGGGAGTCCTCGCAAACGTCTCTCGCTTGCCGAGGGTCTTGCGCGCGCTAAGGCCTCTAAAGCCGAAGGCGCCAAGCCCTCAAAGAAGCGTACCGCCTCTAAGTCTCCACTCCGCGAGGAGAAGGAGACTCGACGCTCCTATCAGAGTCTCTTCGACTCCTCGGATGAAGAGGAGGAGAAGGAGGAAGAAGAGGAGGAGGAGGGTGCCATTGTTGAGCCCCGGGAGGTCTCGAATGACCTCGACCAGCAGCAGGAGGATTTCCAAGCTGCCCAGCGTGTGCGTGGGGGTTCGGTGGCGGCACCCGTCAGCCAGGGAGCTGCCATCAACTCAAGAGGGTATTGGCCTCCCGAGGAGAGCTCTGGGGCTGACCTCTTCTTAGAGCTTCTTGTCGCTCCTCGTGGCCTTGTGGGCGGCCACACTTCTAGGGGCATCTATGAACGAGCCCTTGTTCAGAAAGAACAGTTGTTCGTCGACAACGTGGAGGCTGCTCGGTGTGTGCTTCTCGCGCCACACCGCATTCCCCTTAAGGACTTCACGACTTGTCGTAAGAAGCCCGAGACCCGGGGTGGTCTCTATCCTGTTTGGGGATACCCCTGGGTTATGCCCGAGAACTGTCCCACATGGAGTTCTTGTGAGGACATGTTCTGGGCGTGGGTGGAGACTCTCAAGTACTCGCCCACGGAGTTACGGGAACTCCATGAAGATCAGCAGCTGTCCCACATCCTGGACCAGCGTGATCTTCGTGTGAGGTTTGCCCACTTGGTCAGCAAGCGTATGCTGCCAAGGGACATCCTGAAGCGCGCGGCTTCTAGCGCTCACGATGAGCGCGGGTACGGTATGTATTCATCATCCGTACCCCGTTCGGGCAAGAAGCCCCGGACTACTTATGAAGCTGCCGCCGCTTCTGTTCCCAGATTGCGACAGCCTTCGGGCAGTCAATCAGGAGCCGTTCAATCGGCTCCCACGAGTTCTCGGAGTGGGCATAACCCCTCCACTTCACGAGGAGCTGTCGCTTACCGCGACACCGTTGCTTCTGGAGGATCCGCTCCACGTGGAAGTGGACTTCTCCATTCCGGTCAAGCAGGGGCGGAGGTGCCCTCGTACGAGTACGAGTACTCGGCGCCTCCCGAGAGCCACTCTCGTCCGAGTGCTCCGACTGCGGGTCCGACACGGGACCCTGAGGTTGACCGCCTCCGCCAACGTGTCCTCGTGCTTGAGATTGCACTTGGCCTTGGTACTGGCGGTAATGCTGCCGCCCAGGCCGGGAATCAGGGCGATCTCGCTCGTCTTGCGGGTCGCCTGGACCTGGTGGAGCGAGAGGTCCCGAGCCTGCACCTACGGGTGGATCGCCGGGCCTCTTCGTCCGATCTGGACGAGGCCTTTCGAATGATCCGACGGATCGAGGCTTTGTTGCCACGTCCGGAGCCGCCTGTGGCACACTCTTAGACGCACGCGTATGGTGCGTACCCGGCGTACTCAGCGTACTCGGCGTATGGCGCCGAGGTCCGTTCGTATGGAGCCCTTCCGGCGTACGATCTTGACCGCAGCCTTGCCGTCCCGACCGAGGCTTGGGTGCCTGCTCCGATGCCCTTGTCGACGACTGTGACCGGCCCTCGCTTCGAGGAGCTGGGTCAAGGGGGGTCTGCGAGTCAGCAACCCCCTGCGGGTCAAAGTACCGCTTAAGACGTCCGACATAGAACGTCGGGTGCGTCGTCATTGACTTTGGAAGGTCGATGGTGTACGACGCACCATGTCGGGCCAGGACTGCAAAAGGTCCGATGAAGCGGTGCTTCAGCTTGTTGCTGCCGACAGAGCTGACAGTGTCTAGAGGTAGGTTCCTCGTGTCTAATAGCACTAAGTCCCCCACTTTAAATACACTTAAGTTTCCTCTTCCATGTTTGTCTGAGTCCTCTTTTTGTTTATCTTGGGCCGCTGCCATGGCATCGCGGACCCTGCTGACAATGTTCAGCTTGGTATCCATAAAGGATTCCACCTGTTTTCGCAGCGAAACTGGTCTCACATCCGAGACCTGGGATGAAAGGGCTTGCCGATCCTCTCCCCCACTTAGAATAGAGGAGTTAGTGTCTCCTCGAAGAGTGAGAGGCACTCTAGGGTGGCGGAAGCCGTTCAAGTAGAACGGCGTGAACCCCGTGGACGCGTGCACCGCGTTGTTGAGCGCAAACTCAACAACTGGAAGCTGCGTCGACCACGTACGTGGTGCTGCCCGCGCACACACTGCGCAGAGTGTCCTCGAGCACTCGATTGACGCGCTCTGTTTGGCCGTCTGTCTGCGGATGATCCGCAGTGGACATCTGCAGACGAGTTCCCAGTAAAGGGAACAGCGTTTTCCAAAACGCAGCAGTGAACCGCGGGTCTCGGTCCGAGACAATCGTCTCCGGGAGA